AATATAAAACAAAAAGTCGTCAAAATTATCAATAAAACGTCAAGCAGTAGTCGCGGAATCGAGCGGTAGTAGGGATAACAGAAAAGTACCTTCAAATATTTTATTTTATTGGAATTAATTGATAAAATTCAACATTAAATTMAACATAGATAATACATCTAGTTATTATTAATAGGTACCTATGTGAATCATTAAATTATAAATTAGATATAAAAATAAATTTAATTAATCAAATTAAAAGAAGTGTTTTTTGTGCCAAATCTACAATTGTCTAGTAGTTAATTTAAGCACCAAGAACATTTTTTTTAATAGAAATACCAGTAAAATTAATTTAGTCATACAATCATAATATTTAATTAGATATAAAATCTAATGTTAAATAACAGGAAACCTATTGAATAACAAATAATATGGAAGTTAAACTCATGTTATTTATAATCTTTCTATTTTTATAATGTTCTCACTGACACAAATAAGACATAAAATACTTGCATAATAAACTGATATCTATAGCGGTATCAAAATATACATTTACATATTATCTTCTATAAAACTGTATAGATTTATTGTATAACTTATAGGTGCTGTACTGGTTTTGTTAAATAGGTATAGCTTGAATATAATGATCRTATGAAAAAATATCAAAAAATGTATATTTTTAAATGAACCCAGTTTCARTAATCATTATATATACAGCAGTACAGTACAAAATCATAACATCATTAAGATGATATCTATGTACAGAAGAACAGACTCACAGTAGACAATGATGGATCCAGTACCTACTCACAGGTATACAACGATGATCATCGAACGTTCATGTCTGAGTACAAACTATAGTGCACTGTATTGATACGTTGTCGATGCCAGGTTAACCAGTATAATGGACAGGTACACACCTACTCACTATAACCGACCGTGGTTGACTACTAAAATATTAATTTTTTTTTTTATACTAGGTAGTATAAAACGTACAAAAACGACCGACCGCAATCCGTGACGTCTGGCGTCGTTTTGAATGCGCGAAGTGCGTATAGTAACTAATGGCTACGAGTCACAACTCACGAACATTGTCAATATTGATGTGTGTGGTGTGAGCGTAAGAAAGGAGTGGGTACCTACCTAACAATCCGCACTTCCGCGTTGTGCTATCATCGGACGACGATTGGCTACTAGCGTCGGTGGTTTGCGGAGGTGTTCAAGACGACAAGACGTGTTCGGCCTTTCAAACAATATTTTTTCTGTGTATACTGTATAGTGTATTTTTTATTTTTATTATTATTATTAACAATTTCGGTCCCGCGAACCGTATGCCGTGATACCAACGTAGATCGTAGACGGTTCGGTTTATCAGAAAATCGTACGAGTACTCAGTTACCGCCCACCTCCAACGACCCCGCTGCCACGACTTGCAAAAACGTAARAAATCGACGTTATCACGTGAGTTGGTGGCCACAGGACGCGTGCACTTCCGACTTCCGTCATCCGTCCTCCACCACTGCTCAGTGCTCACTGGCTCACTAGTTCACTGCCGTCTACCACACGGGCACACGGCACTGAGCACTACGACTGACTGTCTATATAGTGTCTACTGCTACTGCAGCACTATCGTCCGATGGTCGTGTACTACATCATTAAAATTTAAAATTATATTTTGTGTGCCGTGTATGATGTTATATTATTATAATACTGAGACTGACCAATATTGTCGAACTGATTACCATTACTTTGAGTTAATTTTCCCATTGAATCTATTTGGTGAGAAGGGTTAATGAAATAATGTCTAATGTTGACCGTTAACTACCGTAATAATGTTAACCTACCTACTCTGTGAGAGTTGCGGCGTTGACACTGTCCCAAAGCTTTCACGTGTAATTAGAGCGGTTTTGGAAGCCATAATATCATATTACCAATACAGATTATAAATAA